CACACACACACACACACACACACACACACACACACACACACACACACACACACAGAGGAGGGATTGTTATTACACAGGCCCCCGATTGTGCTGCACTGTCCGGCACCCCGGGTCCCTCAGCGCGGGTTCCACCATGCAATGGTGTCCTTTGTCCCGAGCTTTGCCATGCACTGCCAAGGTCCCACATCCTCCTCCGCAACACAAAGGACGTCGGACCACACCATGACATGGCATGTTCGTTCATCCCTAGCTTTGACATGCAACGGCACGACCCTTCAGCCTGGGTCCTGCAGCGCGGACCCTTCATCCCTGGCGTTGCCATGCACTGACACGGTCCTGCACCCCGGGCCCTACCACAAAATGGCATGGTCTTGCAGCACGGTCCGACACCCCGGGTCCTGGAGGCCTTCACCGACGAAGCCAATGACGCCCTTTGTCCTGCGCCCTCCTTCGCAACACAGAGGACGCCGGGCAGAACTATGACATGACATTGTCCTTCATCCATTTGCGTTGGAATGCGCTGACAGTGTCCTTCGGCCCGGGTCTTGCAGCGTGGTTCCCAGCACACGATCGCATGGTCTATCATGCCAGGCAGCACCTTGCAGCTGCACTCAACATCACCCGGACCTTACGTTCCAATGACACGGTGACGACGGACCATGCCGTGGCATGGACCGGCGGCTTCGGGATGCCGGACCATCCCATGGCAGGGTCCAGGGGCTCGGGGTTCAGGGTTCAGGGTTCAGGGATTAGGGTTTAGGGTTTAGGTTTTAGGTTTTAGGGTGACCATGCCATGGCATGGTCCGGCGGCACGGGCCCCCCGGACCATACCGTGACACGGTCCGGCATCGTGGAGATCAATCATACCAGGGCACGGTCCTGCGTCGCGGAGTCGCCATGGCATCGTCCGGCGTCCCCGAGCCGCCGGACCATGCCACGGTATGGTCCGGCATCCCTGAGCCGCCGGACCATACCATGGCATGGTCCGGCGTCCCCGAACTGCCGGACCATACCATGGCATGGACCGACGTCCCCGAGCCGTCGGACCATACCATGGCATGGTCCAGTGTCCCGTAGCCGCGGGACCATGCCATGGCATGGCCCGGCGTCCCCGAGCTGCCGGACCATACCACGGCATGGTCCAGCGTCCCCGAGCCGCCGGACCATACCGTGACGTGGCGCGACGTCCCCGAACACGCAGGACGGCACCGCGGCATGGTCCACCGTCCCGAAACGCTGTGCAGGAGCCATGGTTCTTGCTGGCTCCTTTGGGACGCCGGGCCACACCATTGCATGGTTGCATGCCAAGTGATCGTGGACGTTACCATTGGCGGCAGCTGACCATTGCGCGAGCCTGAATATTCCGTAACAGAAAGTCGTTTATGTAACCTAGGTGCAAAGTGGGAGAAACATAAACAACGCTCCGGGAATGTGTGTTCCGTAACATAAGCTGTTTCAAGGGCCGTCCTCCCCGGACAACACCGACTCGTGCAGCCCATGTATTCTCTTACCATAACTGACACCTTTATTGGAATGAACGGTAAGCAAATGTAAGACCTTAAAAAACAATGACCTTTCCGAAACAATAGACCTTTAAAAACAGTGACCTTCTCAAAAAATAAGACCTTTAAAAACCATGACGTTCTCTAAACATAAGAGCTTTAAAAACAATGACCTTTTTCGATACATATAACCTTTAAAAGCGACAAACTTCTTCTGGACGAATGGAAAACGAACGTGGACGTGGAACGACGAAAGATACTTAATGCCATAGAAACAAACGGCCGCCCGACCTTCAAAATAAAAAAACAACCTGCCAGGTTGCTTACAACAATAACATTAGGAAAACAGTCACCTTTTTCCGGAACGAAAGACCTTTACACACGGAAAAAAACACAACACTGAAAAAGACCTTTGAGTAGGGAGGGAGGGCCTCGCACAGGGAAATACCTTTAAGGACAGAGGGACGGATGGAGGGCCTTGAGGGAAGGAGGGAATGGAGGCCCTTCAGGGGCATTACAGTGGGGGAGGGAGGGAGGGTTGTTCGGCAAGTCCGGCACACAAGACAATTGTGATGTAGGACCGAAGCCGGCGAGGGCCTTAAAAGTGGTAGACAAAGAAACCTCACCTTCTCGAAGGTGACGACAACTCTGTGTCCGCGTGTTACTGCGTGAAGGCCCCTGGACGACTGCTGAGGTTCGCAGCTAGCTTGTATGTTGTTCAAAAGGCTGCTCGAAGGCACGATGCAATAAGAAGGCACTCGGCCGGGAGGAGGCACCGTTCAGAGGTGCCCCAAGAGGGGAGACAGCTGCTTACAGGCACCGTGGGAAGGCGGCTTGAGAAGGCGCTGTGTCAAGGTGTTGTTGAAAGTGGTGCAAGCGCATGCAGCAATGGCGCACGCTTCTCGGAATAGCGCTCCGTCGGGGTCACGGTCTCGCGCGCACGCGAAATGAACATGCCGGCCGGGGGTTAGGGTGGTTTTCCTTCCCCGTACAGTCGTGCCTCGCGTCAGTTGCTGGCTTCGAATTTGCAAGAAAACAAAGAGGTTGGGCATCATTTTTTATTTTTTTTGGGGGACAGGCGTCGTTTCGGGCCTGCACGTGGACCCCAAAACGGTGCACGGTGCAGGCCTCGTTTCTGGCCAGGCCTTGTCTCTCCCGTTCCGGGCCTCACCCTTTTTCCACTTCCCACCTGCTTTTCACAGATTTGGTACCGGGCTGCAGTTTCGGTCGGTGTTGTGAGGCCGGTGCGGATTGATCCCGACGGCAACGAAACTGGGAATGGGACTCGCGGCGGCCACTGCTCACGTGCATAGCACAGTTCAGCCATTCTCTGTCGTGGCCTGCATTTCGGCGAGGTTGTCTCCATTGCTGAGGACCGTTCTGTGCCAGCGCCGGCCTTTTGCCGAGGTGTCACGCCAAACCATCCCGTCTAACCCCCCTCCCTTACCCCGTTCCCCTCGTTCATTGATTGTTTGATCCTTTTTTTTTTTTTTTTTTTTTTTTAATTGGATACTTCGATATTCATGTTTTATTGACTGTTTGATTGATTGGTTGGTTGATTGCTTGATAGATTGACTGTTTATTGACTGTTTTATTGAATGTTTTATTGACTGTTTTTTACTGACTGTTTGATTGATTGATTGACTCCTCCTACTCCGCCTCCTCCACCTCCTCCTCCTCTAAATCCTCCTCCTCCTCTAAATCCTCCTCCTCCTCTTCCTCCTCCTCGGATCGCGTTCTTTTTCTTATCGTCATTTCCTCTTCCTCGTCTTCCTCCTCTTCCTCTTCCTCCTCCTCCTTCTCCTCCTCCTCCTCCTCCCCATCGCGATCTTTTTCCCCATCGCCATTTCCTCTTCCTCCTCTTCCTCCTCCTCCTCCTCCTCCTCCTCCTCCTCCTCCCCATCGCGATCTTTTTCCCCATCGCCATTTCCTCTTCCTTCTCCTCCACTGCCATTTTCTCCATCGCCATTTTCCTCATCATCGTTCTCCTCCTCCTCCTCCTCCTCCTCCTCCTCCTCCTCCTCCTCCTCCCCAATGCGACATTTTTTCCCCATCGCATATTTTCCTCTTCCTCCTCCTCCACCGCCAATTTCTCCATCGCCATTTTCCTCCTCCTCCTCCTCGTCCTCCTACTCCTCCTCGTCCTCCTCCTCCTCCTCGTCCTCGTCCTCCTCCTCCTCGTCCTCGTCCTCCTCCTCCTCCTCCGCCTCCTCCTCCTCCTCTTTTTCATCGTCCACCGCCATTTTCTGCAACGCCAATTTTCCCATCGCCATTTTCCTCCTCCACCCCCTCTACCTCCACCTCCTCCTCCTCCTCCTCCTCCTCCTCCCCATCGTGATCTTTTTCCCCATCGCCATTTCCTCTTCCTCCTCTTCCTCCTACTCCTCCTCCTCCTCCTCCCCATCGTGATCTTTTTCCCCATCACCATTTCCTCTTCCTCCTCCTCCAGCGCCATTTTCTCCATCGCCATTTTTCCCATCACCATTTTCCTCCTCCTCCTCCTCCTCCTCCTCCTCCTCCTCCTCCTCCTCCCCATCGCGATCTTTTTTCCCCATCGCATATTTTCCTCTTCCTCCTCCTCCAC